CACATTGAGTTGGTGGAATCATGGTCTGATTACTGAATTGTTGTTGCCTTTACCAATTCCAACAATTAGCTGTTAAGTGCTTTCTTCCACAAAATATACATTGATCCATCATTTATGAGGGTAAAAGATATTTTGTTACCAAATGACCGTGGCCTTTACAATTACTGTAATTAAAAACTGATCATAATGGCATTCCTCCCAAACCTTGGCTCTATTAAGAGATGCAGTTATCATATTTGGTTGAGCCTCTTTTACAAATATTTTTAGTTCAGGTGGGTGCAATCTGTTGATTAATATGGACAATACAAAAGCCTCTCGCATTTGGTGATTTGGCCACTTGTGGAGTATATCTGCCACACGACCATAGTATGATTCCATTACTTCTCTTGGATCCATTTTGCTAGTCATTAATCTTTCTCGAAACCGATCCTCAAAACCAATTGAGCAAAAATGGATTAAAAATGCATTCTTCAATGCTTCCTAGTTGAAAAATTGACCGTCTAGTTGACGGTTGTACCATTCAAATGTCGTGTCCTTTAAGGTTGTTGGCAACCATCATAACTAAATATCTTCAGTTCTTCCATTATTGGCTATACATGCTGTCAAAAACTAAGACAAATATTGATCGAAATCTATATCCAAAAAATCCCTAAAAGTAAATAATGGAGCCATGCTCATTGTGCGATCGCTCATGTCACCCATTTGTACTGCTATTGGAATCATTGGACCACCTGTCACCATTGAAGAGAATAATTTTTCACTTAATCTTTTGTTAAAACAACTGACGCCTTCCCCAATTGATTGTTCTGAATTTTCAAGTTTCCTCAATTTGCTATCATTGTCCCTTACTAAGTTATTCGGTTGAATTAGGCGTGAAAATGACAGATTTTGAAATACACTAAATTGGCCCTTATTGACCAGTAATTTATGCTACTCTATAGAACCAATTTTGACGGAATTGGAAGCTTTTATTATTGCAAACGTATCCAATGGAGTACCAAATTCTTCTATGATTCCTCCACTCTCAGTTAATGGCCTCAAAGGAAATATTGGTCTATTGACCAAATTTTTTGTGAGTGCTTTTGGCAATTTCTCTAACGGTATATACTTCTGAAATATTTAATGTCGATCAGCTTCTAGATATATTCGGATATGTCGACAGGCATGCAACCATGGTTTAATCCAACTTTGTCAATGATTCTTTTTTAACTTTCGTTCTTCCTCGTTACCCAACAAATTTTTTACTTGCAATCTCTCTATTCTTTCTTTCGACTGTCGTATTTTCATTATTGTTAAGTTCTCATTCTTAATAACCATACTCTTTCATTATATTCTATTGAATTTGCTTTCTATCTCCCATCTAACTAAACCGGCAGTTAATTCCTAACACTCAATGCTATTATCTATCCCCAGCAATGACACCAAAATGTGATTGTCGTTTTACTTATTCTACAATTCTTTTTAGAATAAACCTATATAAGAGAATTCGAACAGAGGAAAAGACTAAGTGCATGAGTTTTACTTGTTAGGGTCATACAATTAACTGTATTCCAAACCACTGAAATACTAAGAAACACTATAATGCTTTCTTCCAATAACAATACTCCTTCATCAACTAATAACAACAGTGTGCAACCTTGCACTCTCAAAAGACCGCTCAAAACACAATAATTGCCATCCAACACTAGGAATAACAGACTTCACTCCAACAATCTGAATTCACATAATTTCTATAATCATAGACTTTTTCTATCAAAATACACATAGCTCTCAATAAACAACAATCATAATCTTTCAATAACTCCTCATATAATTCAATCTCTTAGTGCTCCAATTACATAATCAATAACTCATAAATAAATCTTTGATTTATTCCATAGATTCACTTCTTAGTATTCAGAAACCATCCATTACTTTTCAACAACAAAGAAACAAAGAAACAAAGAGGTAGTACCAAGCTTACCCCGGCTCATGACTATCACAATCTGGCCCTCCAACAAACTTCTACAACTCTTATATAATTGCTCTTGATTTCTAGATTCTAACCGTAATCCTGTAATTAACCACTTTTAATAACTAAATCAATCATCCGTCCTATTGAATTGACTATTCTATAGACTATTAGTCTATTTTACCAATATCTTACAGAAACAAACTAATATCTATTCTACAAAAAAGAACATGATTTGGTGCAAATATTGAAGCACCTCCAATTATCTCTATATCTTTGCTCCTTGCCATTTTTATTTCTCCCTATAGCTATGAATTGAGTTGATGTATTGCAAGTATTAATTCTTTCAACTGTTATTGCATTTGTGCCATTACACTCTTCATTTCAAGAAGCTCTCATGTCATAATACTTTTAGAAGGAAAGATATTTAATATTACTCAAAAAAAATAGAAGAAAATACTTCAAAACAAAGAAAAAATATTAGAAATAATATCAGTTAAGAAGAGAGTAATCTGCAACTCCTAATATACTTAAGTCTTATGAAGAAAAAGGGAGTAATTCACTCTTAATCAAAAAAAGACAAAGCTTTGATATTGTAAGTATATTCTTATCAATCTATCAAGAACAAGAACATAATGAAAGTAAATAAACAAGTGAGACTCTTTCAAAGAAATATGACAAAATAGAAATAGAGAAGTATGTACATTAAAAAGCAAATTGGAATGGCTATTGTTAAAAGACAAAGAAATTAGAGACTCTTCAAACTAGATTAGAAGCAAAAAAAGAATTGATAAGAGTGAAGAAGACTTCACTCTTGCCTCTATATATACTATCTATCCAAGATCTATGTGGCGATATTCTATAGGATCTCTAAAAATATGTTGACTTTGTATTACACATATCTTAACTTATAAGGTAAGTTTTCTTTATAGGCACCACATAATTACCTTGTTTTATAAGCTAGCAAAATATTTGGCACATGATTAACTTGTTAATCAAGTTTTTAATCTATCAATCAACTATAAATACATGTAAAGTTAAAATAACATCTAACAAGCTTTTAAGAAGCTTGTCTAGAAGATATTATGAAATTAATTCATTTTTACTTATTACTACCTATTTATATTACCTAGATAATAATTACAATAAATATATATCTATAACAGATTGTTGGCTTAAATAAATTATTCAAGCTTTGAAGACATTATCTTTTAGAATAGATATTAGAGTCTATAGTAATTGAAGGAAAATATTAGAATAAGATTAAAATAGGGATTTTAGCATCAAATTGGATTTTTTTTTTTTTTTTTTTTTTTTTTTTTTGTTGAGATAAGAGTGTATAGGAGGGAAATCACTAGAATTTTGAAGCAACAAGTTTCAAGACTGGTTTAGGTTTTTAATGCCACTTACTGAATTTTTATCTTTTTATATTGAAATTTGGATGGAAGCTACAACTTATTGTCAAGTTTCCAATAAGCCTTAGTATGTAAGAAAAAGAGCTGTGATAAAAGAAATTCGAACTAATTTGTGGATAGGGATTTTGAGGGCAGTTGCTACAACAAGTAGCCAACTTTTTTTCCTTGATTTGATTCTCATTTTTTCAATTTTTTTTATTGACTTTGATAATTTAAAATTTATAACTTGAATTAAGCTCGATGAGCTAAAATTTGCCTAGATTGGATTAATAATAAATAAGTTATATGTATTTTAGTGAAAAGAGGTTTGACTTTGAGATAAAAGCTAGGAGTTGGGTCCATCTTGGTACAAGAAAGAAATTAATTTAAAATTTGTATTCAATCTTTGAACTACTTTTTTTATATTTGATTTCACTTGAGCAACATTATGCTTTTTACAACCGACTTGCAATTAAAGGCCATGTGTTTTCTTGAGGAAGTTTGTTGTCTTAACAACATCTTATAAGACCTCCAACACATGTCCAATTTGCAAGATACATATCTTAACTTGCAAAGCAAGTTTCCTACATGCGTGCCATATTGTTAGCTTGTACCGTAAGCTATCTACATGTGCAATACATGGTTAATTTGTTGGCCAAATTTTTAACCTATTAATCAATTATAAACATTTATAAAGTCAAATATGTATTTATAATGCTTTTAAAAAGCTTTGCGATAAGATAATATCAAATCTATCTATCTATCTATCTATATATATATATATATATATATATTTATCTTCTACCTATCACTTCTTATTTAGGTAAATATGTATATTTGTGATATAAATACATTTCTAGCAGATATTTACCAAATTACTTTTAGATGTATTATTAATAATTAGTCTCTTTAATTAAAAAAATCTAAATTACTATAAAAAATTAGACATACAAAATTATATTATTACAAATTCATTCAATCTTATTTATGCTAGCTATCAAATATTTTCTTATTATATATTTAAAAAATAAAAAGAATCTTAAAAAATAATATTGTCTAAATCTAACTAATTATGTTGCTTTTAATATGATTTTTTCTAACCATAATATCAATCTTATTTATATTCATGGATGTTTTTCCTACAACTTAGTAATATATGGAAAAATGGACTACAGATATATATTTGATGACAGAACATGTCTTAGTTTGCTATTGGTATGAAAGAATAAAAAATGATTTCAAAAGCTTAGAAACTATGGCCAAAGATCTATGACACTTCAACCTAAACACACATTTCTTGTATGTAAGGAATACTAATAGTTCTACTCTTTGACTCATAGAAAAGCAAGTATGTGGTAAATCCTGTTAGGTCTGAAAAAACGGAAAATAACGAAAACAAGTCCAGATTCATGCTTCAGAAAGAGAGCGAACTGCATCAGGATCGCACTTCCAAGCACCTTTCTGCAGAGCCGCCGGGCTTGCACAAGCCCAGCTCAGCTTTGATTGACTTCTCGACTGCATGTCCTGGCTACATATATACACCTATAGGTGATACTTTTACCATTTTGTCGCCGCACCACCTTGTTGACCCCATATCCCCATGTTGACTCCATCTTCGCAATGCCCCCTTTTGGTGTGTGCGTGACACCCATCGTTTTGCTGGAAGAAGCAGGATGCTGGTGACAGCGTGTGAGCTACTCTGTCGCCTGGAGTGGTCCCCACCAGCATAGATCGGACCCACCAGTCCTTTCCAAGCTGTTGTTGTGGACAGTAATAGTTTTCAACAGTTGGTAGTGCAGGGGAGGACATGACTCCGAGTTAATTAATACCAGACTGTGTGTGTCGTGAAGTTGACGCTCGCATTTAGGAGATTGGGATTGGAGTTGATGCATTTGGACTGCTTATCGGCAATGTTGTCGCAGAAGCAGGTTTGGCGAAAAGAGTGATTGAATATTGGAGGTGGGTTTTTGGAAATTTGATCTCCTGCTGAGAAGTTCATTATGGATTAGGGTTTCGTCTTCGACTCGGGATGTATCGTTGCGACAGTGTTGTCGTAGTTGATGACACGAACTTGACCCAACAGGCGAGAAAAAAAGGCGCCCTAACAAGGTATCACGTCGAATGCAGTCAAGTATTGATTTCTTCTTTGGGGACATGCTACCCGAATAGCGGTCCCACCGCATCGTTCACGCGCTGCGAATGTCCAAAGACGGGTTGAAAAGAGCAGCGTTGAGTCAATCCGGCACGCAGACTGGCACCTTCTGAAACTAGTGCTTTTCTTCGAATCGCCCACAGAAATCATCCGAGTTCAAAGTCAACCAACGCTTGGTGTCCAAAGCGCATGTGACGGAATGAATTAGTGTTTTTCAATCGTAGCCTCAGTGAATCTCTGGACGGCAACCAGAGGAAGAAGACATCGAGAGGTTGGCGCTGTCGACTCCCCCGGGATCGTGTTGAACCCACGCTCCCCATTACTGGAGTCGCATTTCACCTCCGCCAACAAAGATCGGGCCTTTTTCGCAGCTGAGTTCGACTCAGAAGCGCGGCAATTCACGCTGCTTGGAGAGAAGTCTGCTTGACAATTATCTAGAGAGGGAATAGTAATCTCGGAGAACCAGTTTTATCTATTAGTTTCCATCGTTGTTGTTGTTGTTTTCTTATCGGTCTTTGAAGTGGAGAAGCAAATTTTTTGGAGGTGCAATTTGGATTTGCAAGCGGCTTGAGTTGGGTTTGGTGCACGAAAGGGAATTTTGGAAGTGTTAGAGAACACCGAAGGAGAGGGAAGTTGTTAAAAAAGGTGTGTGGCTTGGAGGATTAGGGTGAGCAGTGAAGGACGGATTGAGAACTGTGTTCATAGGATCGAGATGGCATCTAATCTAAGCAGAGGGAGGGTGAGTTGGAATTCTGCATGCGAGGACAAGATCTCCGAGGGTGTGGAGTTGTGTCCATTTCTGAGAAATATTGGCGTTACAACTAGCTTCGCTTTCTCCAATTTGAATTTTCCTGTTCCTGCTCCTGTAAGTGACAATTCGAAACCCTTCTTTCCCTTCACTGTATCTGAAAAGTCGCGCAACTCGCTTCTGCTCGGTTCACCCTGTACGAAGCATCTTGATTTAGTCCTAGTTATTCTCAATTAACATCAGTTGCTCCTAAGCTAAGCCAGGCCTCAACCACTTTACTGCTTTACCTTGTACAGAGTTAAGGTTATGTTTACATTATGGTGCTCTGAGTCTTAACGAGCTTCAATTCACAATCGATACTATCTCATGATTTAAGTCACTGCTCAAAAAGGCGCGCCATCCTCATGCATTTTAATGTTTTAAGATGTTAGAGGTGTTCATATTCAACCGTCCAATGTTCTCACGACTATTCATCAACTTTGTCTAGTTCCGAGTGAATATCATTGTGGTTGTTAGTGAGGTTGGTCGAGATTTGCACGTGGTTGTGCTTTATTACTTGGATGCTTGTGTTTGGAAGCACTTCAAAGTCAATGTTTTAATAAATCTGTATGGAATGGTTGCAGAGAAGAGCAGGTCGAGGTCCAATTTTTGAGGATGGGCCGGGGTTTGAGAACTCCTTCCGTCTGTTTCATGGAAAGGATGGTGTGGTTCCGTTAGCGCGTGCCTCGGGAGAGCAGCAGAGCTCGGAGCCACTTGTGAATTCTACTGAAGCTTCTAATCTGAGTTTTCATCCGTTGTCCGCTCGCGCTGCTGCAATTAGTTTATCCCCGTTTGGACCAGCAGGGCCCTTTGGGTTCGACATCTTTATGGCAAAGCAGAATGTGAAGAAGCCGAGCAAGAAGCAACCGAAGAAAGAACCTCAACCCGACAAGGAACATAAGTCCAGCTTAGAATCCCATGTAAGTAAACTCTTGCATAGTTTGTCTTGATTTCTACTTTCCACCAAAATTATCTGCATTCTTCCATATCATGTTACACTTCTGACGCCATGGTATATTGGTACACAGATGCACGAGGCCATGAGCAGCGAATGGCTAGCCACAGGCCAATGCCCAATAGCAAAATCATTTCGTGCTGTAAGCGGCGTCTTGCCATTGGTTTCAAAGCTGTTGCCACAGCTACCGAAAGGAATGAAATACAGGTGCCCTCCTGCCATTGTAGCTGCTCGAGCAGCATTAGCGAAAACTTCTGCAGTGAAAGCACTAAGGCCCCAAGCTCTACCCACAAAAGTGCTAGCAATTGGTATGCTAGGAATGGCATTAAATGTTCCACTAGGTGCATGGCGGGAGCACACGAAGAAATTTTCTCCACAATGGTTTCTGGCCGTTCATGCCACCATTCCTTTTATTGCAATGCTGAGGAAAGCAGTGGTGATGCCAAAGTATGCTGTGGCGTTCACAATAGCATCTGCAGTATTAGGGCAAGCAGTGGGAGCTCGTGCTGAGAAATTTCGCATAGCGAACCTAAATTCTCCAGTATCTTCATCAACTTCTCAGGTTGCAGAAGTGTCACTCTTGTCCTCGTCGATCAGTTCGCCTCCTACTCTTGCTGAGTCTTCGTCATTGCTGGAGCAGTCCACCTTTGGAACCCTTCAGGAAGCACATGGAGAGAGGTTCACAGGTTTTCCTCTTGCTTCGCAGTGTGGTACAGATTCTCTTTTGGACCATCCTATGGGCTCTTTTTCTCTGCCTGTGATTGTTAGCTGATTCTTTGAGAGTTTCTCAAATTTTCTTACTCTTTCCTGGTCTAGCTCTTAAGCAGTTGTTGGTCTTCGCAGTAAATGATCACATTGTACAGAGGATTTGAGGTCATTTCAGTTACAAAATGGCAGGGGAGGTATCAGTAGAGTTTTAGACGAGGCTCATTTCTTTCAATTTATCACAAACAAACGTCACATTTGCCACCCAATAAAATTTAACCTTCGTGGGGTGGGTGGTTGAATTTTAGCCACCTGCTTTTAGCAATATGCTGCCGCTTATCTGTTTTCATGAATTTGCAGTTGCCTTGTATTCATACTCCTTGAAATGTGTGCTTGTCTACGTTTGTCTTTTTATTTAGCTGGTTTCTATTTGTGCATAAGCTCCCATAAGTGTTGTAAGTAATATGAACATAATAGTAATCACAATTTCTTTCTATTAGGGGAATGAAAAGGACATGGATTAGAGGTGCACCCTTTTCTATTGAGGCATTTATGATGGAACCATTGGTTTAAAGTGCATATGATGGTTTCACACACCCCATGCCAAAATCTTTTTGTAGATGTACTTTTAGGTGTGAAGGGAAAATAAATAAGTAAATACATAATATGTTTCCATATAAATAAAACATTACATCATAATTTATGGTATTTGATTTTAGTAACATACAAACGTTTTTAATTTTAATTTTATTTTATTTTTTTATAATTTTATGAATAATTCAAAAGTACCCCTTTCTTGGCCTTATCATTTATTTTGTTAGATTTAGAAATATGACAACGTAAAAATAAGCAAAAAAAACTTCTTAGATTATTTAAATTTTTCTTCAAATTTTATTTCATAAGATTTTATTAATTTTTTAAAAAAAATTAATTTACATATATAAATTTAAAATACTTGTGTAAATTTCTAATCAAATCTACAATTTGTTTTTGTTATATTCTTGTAAAATGGCAAACTTACCTTTATTTGGATTGAAAATCTAGCTTTTGTCTATTTACATATAAATATATTTTGAATTATTAACTCAATCAAATTTAAAATCTTAAGTTGTAGTTGCCAACTACACTCAGCTGTATCTAATACTTTAAAAGATCAACCATAATTATATAGTAAAATTTCTATTTCTTTTCTCCAAAAAATATGACATATTTTTCTAATCCTAATTTTTGTCTATAAATCCTATATCTATTTCTTAAATTTTTATTATTTTATACTTTGGTTCTCAAATGTAGAGTATAAAATAATTTAATTTTCTTCTATTATAACTAAATAGAAATTGACCTATACAACAAGATTCAGAAAGATGGTCATTCTCTTCTATAAAATTCTAGAAGAAATATAAACTTAAGAACTTCTTTTTTTGTTTTTTTTTTGTTTCTATAAACTTTCTTGAACGTGACCACAATAATCTTGTAAAATAAGCTAGAAGTCTTTTTAGTTACAATTTGCAGTAAGTCTCTTCGAAAGCCACAGAATTGTTTTCTAATACCAAGTCTTTTGAAGCCTACATAATACTTTGTAAGCCTTTTAAGTTAGAAGTTTTACTATGCCTTGCTAGGTACTTTTTTAATCTGTGCTAATAATATTTGACATTACATGCAACATTACACCAAAAATCATTAGTTTATTTAAATGAGCTGTTTTTTTTTTTTTTTTTTTTTTTTTCTTTTTTTTTCTTTTTTTTTGTACAACAAACACTACTCTGCCATCACAGACTAAAATTTCTTTGTACCAAATTGTTATTTTACATACTACAATACTTTACAACCACTTATATTATGGGCCCCCCTAAAAAAAAAAAAAAAAAAAAAAAAAAAAAAGCTTAAAGATCCTAATTTTCTCATTTATAAATGATTTTTACTACTTATAAAATTTATTATTTTTAATAATATAAAAATATACCGTTAAAATATATCTTTTTAAAATTAAATTGGAAAAACATTTAAATTAAGATTTAAAAAACTTAAATACAAAATACAAAAATTATAGTTAATAAAAAAACTGAAAAATAATAATGATTTAAATAATAAAAATAGAGTAAAACTTAAATCCCTCCATCTTAGGTAACAAGAAAACTTAAACTTTCTTTCTAAAAATAAAAATAAAAAAAATATAAAAATAATTTATTCAAAATATTAATCAATATAATAATTTGTACAATAATAAATAAATAAGTTTTCATTTAATTCATATATTTTAGATATTATATCTTTTAAGTAATATTGGATAAATTTTTAAGATTAGGTTTAAGAGATTGATTGATTTAAAACATCTTTTCTTACTATTTTATTTTACTAATAAATATCGAAAGTTTAAAGTTAATATTAGCTTATAAATTTTATAGATTAAAAATATAATAATATAATATTTAAATTATATAATAATATTTAAGAAATTATTTATTTTATTTTACTTTTTTGAATATCAACCAAAACTATAATCATGACTAAGTGGATTTTTTTACTAATTCTAAATTAAAAATTTGATTAAAAGTATTTTAGATAGAATTTCAAAAAAATATCTATATATATATATATATATATATATATATATAATTTTTTAAAGATTCTATATAAAAATAAATATTAATTTTTTATTTTTTTATTTTAAGTAATATAAGATAGAAATTATGGATTTCTATAATATCTAGAGGTAATTGAATATAATAAGTATTGAAATATTAAATCTTTTAAAAAATTTATTTTTAATTTTTATAAATTAAAAATATTATTTATAGACATTTGAAAATAATTCAAGTCTATATAATATAATAATTATATATATTAAATTTATTTTATATAAAATTTTATTATAAAATATAACAAAAATTTATCACAAATAGTTATATGAATTTTTTTTTAAAAAGTAACTATCTATAATATTTTTAATATTGTAGTACAAATAATAGAGTCATCTAATCTAACAAATGATATTTAATAGAAAATAAAAGAAATAAAGAAATTGATTTATAATAGTTTAGAAATGTAGTTGTTGTAAAGATAATATATATATATATATATGCCTTGCTATAGTATTCTAAAATTTTATGTTATTCAAAATAAGTCTTAAAATAAATTCTTATTTGCTTTAGTTTGTTTCAAATATTGAAAATTATTCCAATAGTGAGTCTTGATGCAACAAAATAGTATATTGTAAGAATCTTGTTAAATGACTTGAAGTATAGTCTGTATTAAGGATATGAATCTCTAAAAAAGAAATCCTCAATACACTTTTGTATCACTGAAAAGAACTAGAAAGTCACTTAAAGATGATATAGTATTGAACTAGAATGGCTATTGTCAAAAAAAAGAAAACTAGAAAGACTTGAAATAAGACTAATGACTAAAAAAGAATTGATAAGAGTAAAGAAGGCTTTACTTTTGTCTTTGTATATACTCTTAACTAGGAGCTATGTCACAATATCTTATAGGACCTCCAAAACATGTTGACTTTGTAAGATACATATCTTAACTTGTTATCAAAAACAAGAACTTGATAAAGAAAAATAAACAAGTGACATTTCTCTCATAGAAAGATGATAAAATAAAATAACTCAATATGTAAATTAAGAAAGAAACTGGAATGGCTATTGCCAAAAGACAAGAAAACTAGAGACCCTTAAAACTAGACTAAAAGTAGGAAAGCAATTGACAAGAGTGAAGAGGGCTTCACTCTTGTCTCTATATATACTATCTAACTAAGGGCTATGTGGCAATGTTCTTTAGGACCTCCAATATGTATTGACTTTGTAGGACACATGCCTTGACTTACAAGGCAAGTTTTTCCATGCGTGGGTCACATAATTAGCTTGGTATTCAAGCTAACAACATGTGTGGCACATGGGCAACTTGTTGACCACGTTTCTAATACAAAAAGTCATTTAAAGACACCTATAAAGTCAAAGCAACATCTATGAAGCTTCTAAGAAGCTTTCATAATAAATATTATAGGATTAACTTACTTTAGTTACTTTTACTTATTTTTACCTATTTATATATGTAATTATTGGCTTACATGCATATATCCATGACATTACTCCTCCTTCTAGAGACGAGTTCCATGAGGAGCAGTCATCATATGTTGACAAAATCTATGATACAACAAATTGTATTTGCCACATACTCTGATCTTTGTTCTCTTTGAAGATGATTGATAGGGCCTCTCAACCATCCATGGTGTCCCATACTAGGGTAGGAAGACTACCCAATTATTTGATCATTGTTGAGGCCTTTATAACTTCTTTCAAATAAAACATTTGAAACACCGTCAAAAATTGTTCCTACCTCTAGTAAAATCACCAAACATCGAGAGTCCTTTCTATAGTTGTGATACCAAACGCGTTATATCTCGCCATCTATTTGAAGAAGAATATGTCGTTCTTGAAGATCTTCATGTCAATTGCATTGTCTTCAAGGTTCTAACAATCATAATGTCTCATCTGACAGGTCAGCAAATGAAGGCTCTTGAGTCGAATCCACTAGTTTTTGGTTTTCCATCTCTTCAGCATCACAATTACAAAGAAGCTACAAACAAAGATTGAAAGTAGAATGTTATCTTGCCTAGATCTTGTTTCTTTTATAAAGAAGGTTTTCAGCTTGATTTTGATGGATGTCGTTGATGAAAAGCTTCCATCGCCTTTGCTTTATTTGCAAGATTCTTTATTGGCTCCCATGTGCATTCACTAATATCATATCCTTGCCAATGGACAAGATATTCTAATTTATTTTGGCGCCGCCTTGAATCTAAGACTTCTTCTGCTCCAAACTCTTCATTATTGTCCACTTCTAAAAGGAGGAGGTGGAGCTTGTGTTCTTTTTGGTATGTCCACTGTCTTGTATGGTTCAAGAAGAGACACGTGGAATACTGGATAGATTTTCATTGACTCTGATAGGTGTAAATAATATGCAACTAAATTGATTTGTGTAGAAATAGAAAATGGTCGAAGCCATTGATAGTCCAACTTGTCACAAGGACGAGTGGTCTTGATATTACGACGAAGTAACCATAGCTTGTCACCTTTGTGGAACGGTGATTGTTTCTTTTGATAGACATCCGCATTGATCTTTTTTTGTTCTTGAGCTTCTTTAAACTATGCCTTCATCGTTGCGTATAGCTCTCACAAATAAATTACTCAATCTTTTACCGCAATATTATTAACTTTTAAAAAGTCAAAAGTATAAAGTCATGGATGATAACCATAATTAGTAAAGAAAGATGTTTGTTGCATAGAAGAATGTACTATGTTATTGTAAGCAAACTCTACCAA